CTGGAAGAGATTCGAATCAGGAGCGAGAATTATTTCAAGTCAACTGCACAGCCAAGCCTCAGATAGCAGTGTCACTCAGAGGTTAGAAGGTCACTCTCAGCCTTGGACGGCCTCAGCCCTGCTCCACACCCAGCCCTGCTCTCTGGAAGTTGAGGGTGCTGTTATGCTAATTTTATACAGTTCCTCTTTAGCCCTGAGTTCAGCCACCAATCAGCCACAGAGCCAGTGAGCTGACACTGTAGCCATGTGCTGTGGCCCCAGCTGGTCTGAGCAGGACATTTCCTCAGCTTAACCCAGCTCAGCCTAAGGGTTTATCAGAGGAAGCACCTGGGAGAAGTGTGGGCTATAACAACTCTCCTTCATCTGACTGGCATCAGACAGACCTGGGTTCCTTTAGTGTGTGGCCCCATCAGGTTAATCTTACCAATTAATGATCTTACTACTGTATAACCTTCCCAATGCCCAGTAGCTCTAAGCCACAACCCTGTGTGATTGCTCACAAGTTATGCAGTTGTTGGCACTTAATTCTTCTGATATGGGCCAGGCCTGGCTAGTCTCAGCTGGATTTACACACACACACACACACACACACACACACACACACCCTCCCCCAGGCCAGGCTTGCTTTTATGACATGGAGGGAACAGAGCGCAAAACAGTGACCGACCCAGCTTTAGATGAGCTCTGCTGCTAACTTACCTTGAATCTAAGGGTGGTGAATTGGAGCCATCTGACACATGACTTAATCTTCTGTGACTCAGTTTGCTCATTTATAAGAGGGGAATATTACCAGTTGCATCCTGTGACGCTCTAGTCTGCTGTGTGCGTCAGGTGGGGCCATATGTGGGGTCACAGGGGAGGGGTTGGGAAAAAGTTTATTAATCTCACAAGTCCTAGAGAGAGTCTCTGCACTCTGGAGGGAGTCACATGCTGAGGGAGCAAGCTCAGTCAAGCAATGGGAGGTGAGAGAGAGAGAGCAATTGAGAGAGGCAGTACCCTTGGACAAGAGGCTTTATCAGGGGCCTCCTTGGTGGTGCAAGGGGTTAAGTCTCAGCACTATGAAGCTATCCGCAGCCACTGCAGCACAAGTTCAATCCCCCACCAGGAAGCCAACCCATATATGGCCAAGCAGACCTCGCCTGTCTCGCTGCTCCCCTCAGCAGTGTATTTCAGTCAATCCACCTGTTCTGTTCCCCACTCTGTCTCTGGTGAATCTTCTCACACCACCCCCTCTCCTCCATACCTCTGGCCTATATCCCAGCTCTTAGTATGCATAAATAAATAAATAAATCTTAGGGAAAAAAGAGCATTTATCAGGAATCAGGGCAGGGTGCATGAGCAAAAGGTGAGAGAAGATTCCCTTGGCTCATTTGAATGTTACTAGGTCACAGCTAGGGTAGGGTCAGAAAGGGAACTTAGGTCAAGGCACCTGGCTACCTCAGCGGTGCTCATAGTCTGTGGGGATGTCGAGGCGGCAGAAAATATGAACTTCTCTAATTTACAATTCAGCTAGTAAAACGTGGGCCCTAAGATCTTATTTATAAACTGCAAAAGGCCAAGGATTTGATTTGTTTTCGGAGAAAACCATTCTTCATATCTGGGAAACTGTTTAAATGGGGTCTTTAGTCACGGTAATTAAAAAGAGTATGATGTACACCTCCATCTGAGAAAAGACTACGAAGCAGTCGCTGTCCAGAGGAGCTAAGTGCTCTACTTAGCATTCCTTCATCCCTTCATTTATCCATGCAACCGCCATTCACATGGTGAGGGAGTCATTCCAAATGTATTTATCGTGTAGGGACTGTTAGGGGGAAATGATGTCCTGAGCTAATCCCATGCAGGCTTTGTGGACCCCACCCCCACTCCAGACTAAAGCCATCAAGACATTGGGAAGGACAAATCCCATCACCACCAAGGGGAAGGTGGCTGGGACCTGAGGGTGGAGTTGGGCAGCCAGGTTGGATATAAAAACCAAACACGTGGGCCTTGGGGCTCTCTGGCTCGCGATTGCTCACCTCCCGGCTTCACGGCTCCTGGCTCGCGGCCAGCTCTCAGAGCGCCATTTTGGGATTTCCTGATCGGCGGATAGGGTAGGACTCATTTAAAACTTTGTCTCCCACTTTTCTCCCAGAGCTGTACATTTCCTCATTTCCCCTTCCCTTGTAAATAAACCTTTTATTAAGATTTCGCGTGTGCCTGCAGTAGAGCATTGATAAGTCCTTTTAAGTGCGTGGGTGAGGACCCACAGTCAGGCACCCCGTTTTGTATCGGGGTTGCTCTACAACAGGACCACTGCATAAGAGAAACTGCATGAACACAGGCTTGGATATAACAGAGAGGAAATGAAACATGAAGGTTGCTGAAGCCTGTGTGAGTCATTGTCAGGGCCATTTCCATGGTGATGAGTTGGCTCCACTGCCCAAGTGAATGGGGAGCCACCAATGGCTTTAGACAGGGAGTGGCATGGTTAGCTTTGTAATTTCTAAAGATCTCTCGGACTGCTGTATGGAGATCAGTGCATGGTTGGTGGAGTGCTGTAGAGGGGAGAGATTAGTTCGAAGACGTTCCAAGCATCCAGACCTGGATCACTGTGGTGACAGAGATGGAGAGAATTGTATGGACTAGAGAGAATTGGAGAGGCAGAATGAGCGAGGACCTGGGGCTTGGTGCATGATGGGGAAGGGAGGGGGAGCCACAGCATTTGACAGTCAGTTTCTGTCTTGGGCACTGGGTGAAGGGAACCACTGGCTGACAGCAAACACAGGAAGGCAGAAAAGGAGTCACGTTTTAGCTGCCTGACCTTTGAGGTACCTTTGTGGAGGCGGTTCGTTGACAGTTAGATATATGACAGGAGCTGAGGAGCTGGGTCTGCACTCAAAGTGTGATCGGGCAGTCACAGATCAGACACGAAACCCAAAGCCATGGAAGGCCGTGCTGAGTGCTCACAGCCTCTCTCTGGGCTTGATTGCTATGGTAGTGGTGGACAGCCCAGTCTCTGCAAGGATTTTTGGCTATTGTGTGTCCATAAATTGTTTATTCCTGTGGAAAGATGATGATGTGTGTGTGCATGTGTGTGACAGAAAGAGACAGAGAGAAAGGCACAGAGACCAGGTACACGAACACATCCCTAAGAAAGGAGCAAGCGTCCCTGAGGCAGAAATCAGTCTCTCCCTCCACGACTCATCTTTGAGGAGGCAGATGCTGGAATAAGAACTGCAGCTGGAGGGATTAGGCCTCAGACAGCCAGGAAGACCCTCCCCTCTCCCATGTCTCTCCATTTTCTTTTCTCACCATCTACCAATGAGTGACAAGGGCCTTTCCTGTTTGCACATCTCAGATCTCCTTTACTTAAAAGTCATCTAGGCTTGGCTTTTGATAAGCTAAACAGAAAAAATTAGAAAATCGTTTCTCCTTTCAACTCTATTTTCATGGCTCTCACTTCCTATGGAGATTCAGGAAATCAGCTTTGAGATTCAGATCAGAGATGACATCTTTGTTACAGGCAGTACCTGCTCTTTCCTTCCCTTGGGCAAGACAAAAACAAAAAACATCTTGGGAGATAAGGAACAGGATTTGAGAAGGGAGTGCTATAAGGCATGTGAGTTACACATTTGCAAAATAATATACCCCAGAACCCCTGATATGACTTAAAATGTTTTTTTAGTCTGACCCTACCAGGCCCAAGTCCCATGCTCAGAAAAACATACATCATCCTAGAGGTTTCTGCCACATGAAAACAGGCAGCTTTCAAGCCCTGCTTGCACACTCCCCTCTCTGCCAAGGGCCAGAGTCCTCTGTCCCTGCCAGTGCTACTGCTTGTGCTGGAATTATGGGTTGCATTGTATGGGAGGCTCTGCTTGGCGTCTTGAGGGGAGGAAACAGCTATCCTGCTGGGGGCTGTCCTGTGTGGGCTGTCTTTGGGCGGGGAGCTGTCCTGAGGGGGCTGTCCTGGGAAGGCTGTCCTGGAGAGCCTGTCTTGGGTGGGGCTGTCCTGGAGGAGCTGCCCTGGGGGGCTGCCTGAGGGGGTGGGGAGCTGTTCTTGTGGGGGGGGAGGGGAGTTGTCCTGGGGGTGCTGTGTTGCTGGGGGCTATCTGAGGGTGACTGTTGAGTGGGGGGCTGTCCTACTGAGAGATGTCCTGGGGGAGCTGTCCTGCTGGGGGCTGCTCTCACCCTGTCCGGTCCTAAGCAGAGCTCACACACTTGGGCCACTCCATCTCTCAGCCCTTCCATCTGTTCCTTCCCAGGTTCTGGCCTTCTGACCTCGGCTCTACCTGTTACAATTGACGCTGGGCAATCTTTTCTTCTATCGGAGGCTGAGCTCCTCCTGAGCAAGTGGGAATGACGATACCCCAGACTCAGAGTCACCTCACACCGTGCGTCTCTCCCGGGTTCAAATTCACCTGAATTATTTACAACCTGGGGTGTGCCCCCAAGATAAGAGAGACCAGGGAGTGCATGATTGTACTCAATCTCTATCCCAGGGGAAGACAGAAAAGGGAGAGGGAAGCAATGCTTCTCAGAAAGGGTGCTCGATTGCACCTTGCTTCTATTCAGTTGTTCCCTCAATAAATATTTACTGAACCCCTGCAGGGGTGAATAAAACAGACAAAAGTCCTGGCATTTATGGAGTGCACATTCTATTGAGAACTAATTCTCACCTTAAAGGTATTATTCTTATTTCTCATGCAGCATGGGCCAAACTATACACCAACCTCTTTATTTACTGGCGAGTGATCTGATACCTGAGGGAGAGATACTGGCTCTGAAGGATTAAGGGATGGTTGTGGTACTGTTGACTGAAGGTGATCTCCACCTTTTGCATTGCATTTAGATGCTCCCTGTAGCCCCGCCCTTCCTGCAGATCTAAATTGAGACTGCATTGTCCCTTTGTGCATGGGCCTGTGAGAACTCAAGGAAAGGGTCTGCATTGAGTAGGCACATCAGTAAGAGACTGGGGAGGAAGCTCAGTGATTTCAGCCTCAGCCAATGATTATTCCAGGTACTACTCTGAGCTTTATTAGCAACTGCATCCCATTCTTGAGGGTTAGCCTCCACTGAATGGGCTGAGTGGAAGGCTGAGAATCAACTGCAGTCTACACCGGCATCCTCATGGTGTCCGCAGTTGTGAGAACCCCAGGATTTCTTGTTGCAATACCACAGGCTCACCTCTGACCCTTGACAGGCAACATTATCCAGCCAGATCTGTCCAGTGCCTAGATATAGAGAAAACAAGGGGGGACAGGAGAGTAGGGCGGGTCAGTCTCATCCAAGTATTTAACATTTAGTCCAAGCATTATTTGAAATCTCTTCCCATGGCCTCCCAGCATTTACCTCTTCCTTGCAAATGTTTAACAGCCATATCCATCTTCCTCAAATGCCTTTTTAACCATGCCATCCCTAGCTCTGAAGCATTCACACCTTGTTCAAACACCCTTCCTTCTAATAGACTTGATTTCAGACCAAGAGATCAGAAGAAAACAGTTGGATTGTGTGATTGTTATAGGACAGGGAGAGGGGTAGCCCAAGCCCCGCAAACCTGCCTATTCTAAATGGGTTCTGCCATCCGCCGCATCAACACAAAACATATGAGACTTTAATGGGAAGGAACTTTAATAAAACTAGGAAACAATACAGGTAAGGCAAAGAGTCTAGTTTCTAAATGAAGCACCCAAAGTTACCCATCCCCTCGTGGGTAAAAGTCCATCCATATGGGATTGGCCCAGAATAAGGCCCCAAAGCCTGCCACAAGTCTAAAGCATCTTCCAGTGGGGACCCACAGAAAAGGGTCACAAACAACCAGACAAGCCCGGAAGGAAAAGAGCAAAATCAACATCAAGATAAAAGCTGCCATTGTCACCTCTCCACGGGTCTCACCCACATCTGTGTCACCCAGTCCACGACCAAAAGACAAGCGCAGTTTCTTCACGTGTCTCTAGGCTCCATGCGCCTCCTCCAGGTCTCCTGGCTCCATCCTGCTTCCTTCCTCCGTCTCTTCTGCAGCTTCTCCTCTTCCTGCTCAGCTCCACCCTCCCTTGGGAGGGGCAGGGAACCTCCCCCTTTCCTGGGGACCACCCTGTTACATGATTACTATAATTTATACTACAGTGTGACAATCTACATGAAGAAAATGTATTTTTTTTTTTTAGTATTTTTTTTTCATAGAAGAACTGGGGTGTAGGCCATAAGTAGGGGGGGGTGAGAAGATTCACCAGAGACAAAGTGGGCTGCAAAACAGTCAGATCTGCTGAAATACACTGCTGAGGGGAGCAGACGTCGTGAGACAGGAGAGGTCTGCTGTGCCATGTGGGTTAGCTCCCTGGCTGCGGATTGAACTCAGGTTTGGGGCCGTCACAATGGTAGTGCTGGGACTTAACCCCTAGGCCACCAGGGAGGCCCAAGGAAAGTGTATTTTATTTTATTATTTATTTATTTATTTATTTATTTATTTTTATTTATTTATTTATACAAGCACTGGGTACAGTCAGAAGCGCGGGAGGGTGAGAGAATTCACCAGAACCAGAGCGGGGAGCAGAGCAGGCAGAAGGACCGAAGTACACTGCTGAGGGGAGCAGCGGGCGGCAGGAGAGGTCTGCGTGCCATGTGGGACCCTCCTCTGGTGGCCGGGGAGCAGCCGGGGATCGAACTGGCGCTGCAGAGGCTGTGGGCAGCTTCGCAACCCATCGCTCAACTGCTAAGCCACCGGGAAGGCCCAGGAAAGTGTATTTTAAAGGAAGATGTGTATTAATAATCCAACTGGGCTCAGATTAAAAAGCTGGTATCACCTTTGGGATGAAGTAAAAACAGACCAGTTAGGGGCAGGAACAAGAGAATCTAGCTGTTGTCCTGCTGGGTCAGCTCTTACCACCTAAGAAATAGTCTCAGTCCATGGACATAACTCCTTTACTGAAAATTTGTAATTTTTGCCCATAGACATAAGCTAAGTCTTGAGGACCCCAGGATGTCTTTCCAAAACTTATTTTTGAAAGTGTCTGCTCTGATTTGCTTTCTCTTCTCTCCTCACCTCCTTAAAGATGATCACTGCTTGGGCAGTCTAGGCCTCTAGTTGCCAGAAGCTGGGATGAATGCTGTGTCTGCAACTTCTCTGCTGTCCCTGTAGCCCCCACACCTCAGCTGTCTTTGAGAGAGCCACGCCCCGCCAACACCCATTACCTTGTGGCATTCTGACCTTGGGGCTAGTCAGACATTGACCCAAACAGGACCAGCACAGCCCCAAGCAAGCCTTTGCCACCACAGTGGGGAAAAGGAGACAGCTTCTTTCTCCCAGTGTAACAGGGTGGTCCCCAGGAAAGGGGGAGGTTCCCTGCACCACCCAAGGGAGGGTGGAGCTGAGCAGGAAGAGGAGAAGCTGCAGAAGAGACTAAGGAAGGAAGCAGGATGGAGCCAGGAGACCTGGAGGAGGCGCATGGAGCCTAGAGACACGTGAAGAAACTGCGCTTGTCTTTTGGTCGTGGACTGGGTGACACAGATGTGGGTGAGACCCATGGGGAGGTGACAATGGAAACTTTTATCTTGATGTTGATTTTGCTCTTTTCCTTCCGGGCTTGTCTGGTTGTTTTTGACCCTTTTCTGTGGGTCCCCACTGGAAGATGCTTTAGACTTGTGGCAGGCTTTGGGGCCTTATTCTGGGCCGATCCCATATGGATGGACTTTTACCCACGACGGGACGGGTAACTTTGGGTGCTTCATTTAGAAACTAGACTCTTTGCCTTTCCTGTATTGTTTCCTAGATTTATTAAAGATCCTTCCCATTAAAGTCTCATGTGTTTTGTGTTGATGCGGCGGATGGCAGAACCCATTTAGAATAGGCAGGTTTGCAGGGTTTGGACTGCCCCTCTCCCTGTCCTATAACACCAGGACTGTCAAACTGGAGACAGATAAGCCTGGGGCCCTGAGTGGCAGGAATTCTCAGTTGCCTGAACCAATCCTTTTCTTTTAATCCAAGCCAAATGAGTCACTTTCAAATAAAGGGTGTCAACACCCTCCAGCTCCCAGGAGACAAAGTCCACTTCAGCACCTCAAAGAAGGAGGCTCCTGGATGACAACTCACTTACCACTTTGCACATTGTAAAGCGCTGTTCCCGAGGAGAAACCCAGCATACGGCAGAAGACAGTGGCATCGTTATTGTCCCAGTCATCATCGCAAATTGTCCCCCAGGCCCCATTATAGAAGACTTCAGCCCGGCCCCGGGACCTAGATCCGATGATCCTGGCGAGTGCTTGGTTTTCACCTGGCAATAAAGAAAGCACACGTGGGAGAGGCGAGCCAAGTGGTCTGGGCTGGCGTGAGGCATGCTTTTTATTTGGACACGATGCCATCAGAGCAAGCGCTTCTGGGGCTGGTCTTGCCAATCCAGCAGACCGTGCCCTGCCTTGTGTTGGTAGTGAGAAAAAAGAGAAAAGATAAGAAAAGAGAAAAGAAGGGCGAGAGGGAAGGAGAGAGAAAGGGAAGGGGAGAGAAGCGAAGGAAGGAGAACTCTGGTGTGGCGGCCGCACCCCACAGGCACATTCAAGGGATGACGCCACCAGCTTCTCCCAAAGGTGAGGCACTTTCCTGAGAACCAAGTGTCTCTCCCCTACCACACACACAATCTTCAGGTCTAGAGTTTACTCAAAAGCACAAATTAGAGAGAATAGAAATAGCCTTTACCTCTTTCACCCTTTGCTCCCTGTGCTCCTTTTTGGCCCGGGGACCCTGCCATGTGGAGAAGAAACACATCATTGATAAAAGTCAAGCCAGGATCTCCTCACCCACCTTTGCCAGCAGTGCAGAAGAGTAAGGAGTGAGGCGGCATCAGAGTCTCTCCTTGGGCTTTGCTGGTGATCTGGCATTGTGGGCAATGCATATGCCACGGGCACCAGTGGTTGAGCAAGAAGAAATGGCCCAAGGTATGGCAGGAAGGAGTCGAGCTAGATGAGTGAGGATGTTTCACAGGTAAGGGGCACAGGGTGGGATGGAAGCATCTCCTTGGTGGAGAGATCCGGTCAGCCCTGGAAGCTGCGCCGGGGTGTGGCTGGGCGGTGTGCAGGCACATGCGCACAGGGTGCTCGCCGAGTGCCAGAGCTGCGCCCTCCACCCCTCTGGGTGCACAGTGTCCAGGGCAGTCCTGGGACAGGACTTGGCACAGAACCAGGAAACTTCTACCCTCCTGGTGCCCCAGACTCCCACGCCCCTTAAACAAGGCCTCTTTTTAGCCCTACAAAGCAGAAGCAGAGAGCTTACCTGTCACTCCTGGTTCTCCCTTTGCACCGACTGGTCCAGGTGCACCAGTGAAGCCTGGCAGCCCTGGAGTTCCCTTTTCTCCCTTCATGCCTGCAGAGCCTGAAAAGAGAGCGGTTACTGGTGTCAGATGTCCATGGGGGCCGACAATCTAGGAGTAAAAACTGACTTGTCCGGAACAACCAGGTTTCCCCTGTGATGGGTCTGAATGTTCAGCTGTGTCTGTTCCCACTAGGGATCGGGGGTGGGGAGCTGCTCCACTCTGGAGTCTGCTCTGGTGTAAATGCTGGAGGAGAGCATGTTGACAGGATTCAGAGATTGTTGGTTCCCAGTGGGCTGCACACTTGTCTGTAAGTTCTGCCCACTCTGGAAGAAATTGCTAGAATGTTTCTAGGCCTCAATGTATTTAGCAAATTAAAATAGCAATAGAATATCCAGCTGAGGAGGAAAAAAGTCTGCTCAAAACATTTGCCTGAGAAGTTTGACTTTAGCAAGCATTAGGGTGGGGCCCTTGAGAAGACGGGGAATGCTGGGGCAGATGCCCACGTCAGTAACCAATTCCACACAAGGGATTGGCAAATGAGGGTCACCATGAGAATAGTCTACAGAGAAGCAGGAGCTCAGGAGAACCCTGAGGGGGTCACAGGGAAGATGGAGAGGAAGCAAAGCAGACACATGGAAGCAGATAGACCTTGCAAGCCACCTGGGAACTGGAGAGGTGCCGGCCCCGCGTGGATGTGGATGTGCACCCCAAAGGCACCATCTGATTGCCAACTTCCCAGATGTTGTTGACCTCACCACGCTCAGCCCCTGCCCCTCTCCCGATGGCCCTCAGGTTACTGAAATCCTGGTCTTCCCAGGTCTTCTAGATTTATCCTCCTCCAGCAGTGTAACCAGAGGTTTCAGTGACAGAGCCTCAACCAGGATAGGCCCAGACACGGTGGGGGAAGGTCACAGCCTTGCATCAAAGTCAATGAGACCCACCCTTCCAGCACATGCACTTTCCGGTCATCCTTGCTGGAAATTAAAATCAAGCCAGCCCTTTCTTTACCTGGAACTCCTGCTTCTCCTTTTGTTCCTTTCTGTCCTTGGAGTCCTAAGATCAAAATACAAAAAAGAGAAGATAATAAAACTCAGATATGAGACACTTTTAATCTTAGACAACCTCTACTTTTTGTCTGATTAATGGAGATGGAAAGAGACATTGATTCTCCACGATCATTTAAAGCCTCTTCAGCAGAGCGTGAAAGGAGACAAACTGCAGATGAAAGGGGGCGTGTGTTGGGGTGAAATAGAAGCGTGTTGGCTATGGCGCCTGGGTCAGACAGACCCCTGTTCACTTCTTTGTGCAGTAGTAACCTGACTTGGTGCCTATGTGCCATGCCCATCCTTCCTGTTGCACTTTATTAGAAAATAATTGAGAGTTATTTTGAAAGTTATCTTCATTTATAAAGGACCGTGGTGGGGACTCGGTGGCCACCAGGAGCTTTGGGGGTCCTCACCCACAGTAGATGTTCCATAACATTTGTTTATTTATCTCACTGTGGCTAAGATTCATCTGACTAAAGGGTCTCATGTCCAGGAAATGGAAAAATAATTGGTACAATAATTGCCAATGCGTCTATTTGTAGAATTAATGGAAAAGATCCTTCGTCCCTTCTCTTCCTCTCTCTCCCTCCCTCCGTCCATCTCTCCTTCTTGCTTTCCTTCCCTCTTTTCCCCCACCCACCCCTTTATACACTGACTTCCATGGGCCCACTGCACCCAGCACCAGGCCTGATCTCTGTGGGATACTCACCTGTTGGTTTAGCAACATCGCTGTCTCTCATACTTACATGCCAATTTGATTTTATTTCAGAGAGTCACACAAACTATTTCCAAAAGTCACACAAACTTGGGGAAATGAAAGCTCATTATTGACATGAAGAAAAAGTTACTAGAGGGTTAGAGGGGAAAGCAAATAGCTACTCGTGGGAGGCAGTGCTCATCAGCTCGCCCTTGACAAGGATTCAGTCCTACATGAGTCCAGCCTAAATTGAAGATCTACCCCTTGGTGATCACCAGAAACAACAGGGAACTCAGCTACCCTCCTTGACAATGGCCTGGGGAGAGCTCCTACCTCCAGATGTTTCTGCCTTCTGACTATCCTGAGCACCTACTGTGTGCTGGTGAATGGTGGGCAGACGAAAGACCTGGCAGGACTCTCAGGACCCTTCTTGGAATAATGAGCAAGAGGAGTCCTGGCTCCTGGCAGCAGTCAGATGTAAAGTTGGGCACTGTCTGGGGAGGAGGGTTGGGGGCCAAGTAACAGGAGGCTGCTACTGCAGATGTCAGCACCAAGAGAGATGGGGGGCAGTGGAAGAAGCTGAAAGAGCAACTACTTCAGCCCCTCATTTGAGGGACTTGTCTCCATAACAAGAGGTGATGCTACCTTAGAGGTCAGACCCCTGCAGGTCTAGCCACCCCCAGGCCTTCTGTGCACACTCCGCCCCTCACCACTTAGGCCCCCTGGAGGGCGTAGATCCAGCTGATAAAGCCTCATACCATGTCACACGTCATGGCCTGGCAAGCCTTCTCCCCGGATGGTGCATTTTCTTCCAGGCAGCGCAGAGGCAGAGGCAGACGTCCTGGACTTGTGTCTGCCTCTGGGGCTTGGAGCAGGGAGTTACCCTCCCCGAGCCTCACCTTCCTTCCCTGTGTTTCCTGGCCACCTGCATGTGAGACTGAAGTGAGGTCTGCTGGGACAAGCACTGACACTCATGTCTGGCAAGTGCTCAATAAATAGTGCCATGAGGCCCCTGTGGACCTGTTTGCTCACGACTGTCTCCCCTCCGGGTATGCAGCACCCTGCACACTTCAGAGAAGCCTTAGTGTGGGCTCTGGGCTTGCCCCCAGACTGCCGTGGAAACTTTTGCTGTTGACCTGAGTTTGCCCAGCTGAGGTGGCAGATGTTTCCTCTTTGAGTCTGAACAGCATGTGTCAAGATGAGAGAGAAGACATATTCGGAAACATCTCTTTGGTTGTTATTGAACAGAAAAAAGGTTCATATGTAGGCCCTTGGCTCTCTCAGCCTGCATCTCTTCCTTCAGAGACTGTCCCTAGAAGCAAGGTTCGGGGACTTCAGGCAATGCAACCTCCCCTTACTGCCCACCCTCCAAAAGACATGCCCTTCGCCAGCTGCCTCCACAGTGCCAAACAGCAAATATCCTGTGTAGACAGGAACCAAAGGGAAGCCCCTACTCACTAGGTCCCTGCCCCCGGTGGCCTCACCCTCCCAACTTCATTTTCACACCCTCCCTTTCAGCCCCTCAGCCCCTGGGGACTCAGTGTCTGCTGCTGTGGGCCTGTGCCAGACACCCTGCCAGGGGGTTTACATACACTGCCCTGTTCTATCAGCTGCCACACTCAGATGCTGGGTGATTGATGCAAGGTCACACAGGGAATGAGAGGTGAAGTGGGGATTGGAACTCAGTCTCAGCCTCCTGCTGGAGCCTCCTGTTTTTCACCAGCGTACCAGCTCACTCCTTCCTGGAATTTTGCATCCAGTTCTGAAGACACTTTGGTCCCACATGGGCCATCCCGCCCCAAATGAGCAGTAAAAACCGAGTGTGCATTAGAATCACCTGCACAGGACTTGTTAAAAAACAGCTTATGGTCCTCCCTGGTGGCGCAAGGGGTTAAGACGCAACCTATGAAGCTCTCCACAGCCACTGAAGCACGAGTTCGATCCCTGAGCAGGAAGCAACCCACATGGCACAGCAGACCTCTCCTGATCACCCGCTGCTCCCCTCAGCAGTGTATTTCAGTCGATCTGCCTGTCCTGTTCCCCACTGTGTCTCTGGTGAATCCTCTCACCCACCACACTCTGGCCTGTACCCCAGTTCTTGTATGAATAAATAAATAAATCTTTTAAAAAAAAAACAGCTTACTAGCTCCCTTCCCCACCCCACCTTCCAACTGAGCCTCTGATTTGGTGACTGGGATGGGGATCTGAGTTTCTGCATTTCAAACAAGTTCCCAAATGACACTGCTGCTGCTGGTCGGGGGACCATGCTTTGAGTAACAGTCCCCTAGACGCAGCTCACTCATTCATAAGGGAGCTCAGAACTTGCCTGTGAGCCTACCTCTGAGGGACTCATAGTCCCTCCTGCATCTGAGCTCTTCTAGAACCTGTTGGCCCCTGATGAAATGCTCTCTGATATGTGTATAAAGGGTGTCAGTGTTGTCTTCAAAACTGTCCTTTTTGTGGGAAGGAGATTGGAACTGAGTTTTGTGTAACTTCTCTCCAAGCCTCACTGGACTCTGAGTGACTGTGCTGGAACTAATCGATGGAGGGACTAGTAACTACTTCACTATAAATCAAGGCAACATCCTGACTGGATAAGGGAGAGGGAGAAATGACTGAAAAGTAGGATCTAGAAGTGCAGGCTATAAAATGACATTGGGAAGCAAATGAATGCTGAGTTTTTCCTTTTAACCATGAGCAGCCTGGATTTTCCTGATATCACAAACTGATACACTGAGAGGGCCCCAAATACTTATTTATTGTTATTTATTTACTTACCTATTTTTTTTGTTTGTTTTATTAAATATTTATTATTTAGAGAAATGATTTCTGCCAAGAAAATAATTTTTGTAGGAAGCACATGCCTCCCTATTATTTAATGTTCAATTGGTTTTCTAACTAAAATCTTGGGATGTTCTTGCTCCAAGAGGAAATGCCTATTTTGATAATAGAGACAGAGTGCTGGCAAGCTGGCTGAGACCTAGATGTTCTAGACTACTTGTCATACTCCACAGAGGAGTGTCAATTACCTACTACTGTCACCTGGCTACTCAGCCATAAGTCCATGTTGAGGCACAGATCTCCTTACTCCAACTTAATGGTACAATCCCCAGTACCTTAGAAAGCTTCTGGAAATACCATCCTGACCTACAGGCTAAATGCAGCCTGGAAAATTTAGGCTTAATTTCATAACTGACAAAATGAATTGTGTGGCAAGAATTAAGATGGTGCGTCGGGAAATCAAAATTGGGATTTGTGTAGATTTCTGTAAATGACTCTAAGAAACATAAAGGAAAATGAGGGAAAGTTTTGTAAGTGATAATTTAATAATATAATTTAGTAGAATTTAATAATTCTTGGGAAATGGAATTAAGTGAGTTATTATATTCACCACATAGGGCTTAATTGCTATTGTGGATTATTTGCTGCTTCTTTTTAAAAATAAGACATCTTACTATAGAGAAAAAAATAGATTTCAAGTTATTTGCATACTGACTTTGCAGCAAAAGGAAAATAAAAGGACATAGAAAATGCCAATTCTTGTTATATTTTAGACATGAAGCCTGTTGAGATGCAGAATTCCTGATCAGATTTGTGTTTTAGAGCTTAAATGTTTGAGCAGTTTTAGCATCATTTCACAAGGTAGAAAGGGTAGAAAGAAAATGCCATGCTTATAGGTTGAAGTGAATCTCCTTTATTCCAAACAAACTATTTTTCAAAATGACTAAAGGATTTAGAGTTAAAATGAGTTTTGTTTGCATAATCAAATGATCTTGCAATTGTCTGAAGATCAATGGTTAGGAAAAACTAAGTGTTGGAGGTTGTTAAATCCTGTTTTAGAGACAGTGAAGGAAAGTCCTGTTGAGTGATAATGCCCTGTCACTTAAAGAACTAAGCAGTTTATCTCCCCAGCAGAATGGAAGGAGTTTCCTCTTCCCTGTCTTTGACCTGAGATGATGCCTCTCTCAAGAGGCTCCAACAAAAGGACACATTTTGGGCTTCCCTGGTGGCATTGGGGTTAAGTCTCAGCACTGTCACCAGTGTAGCCTGAGTTTGATCCCTGGTCAGGGAGCTAGCCCACGTGGCTCAGCAGACCTCCTCCTGTTCTCCTCCCTACTCTGTCTCTGATGAATCCTCTCACCCACTGCACTTCCAGCCTATAATCCAGTTCTTCTACGCAAAAATAAATAAATAAATCTAAAAAAAAAAGAAAAAGAGGACACATTCCATTGGCATGGGGAGGCCCGTGGTGACTGTTCACTGACACATCTGGTGACTGAATCAGAATTTATTCATATACCCTGGGGTAGGAGGTGAGGGCAATGCTCATTTCTCTTAAGTCTTATACTCTATGGCCTCCTATACAATACAAACTGGAAAAGCACAATTTTGGCAACAGACTTTGGAGTCATCATATATTAACTGGGAAACTGAGGAAAGTTCACACTGTGGGAGTCTTTGTCTCCTTGAATGGAAGGTGAGATGATGAAACTCAGGTGTGTGGATATATGAATGAAGATGTGGGGATCAAACATCAAACATGGTGTCTGATCAGAGGCATCCCAAACAGTAGTAACCAGACTACTTGTGATCTGATAATGAAGCAGAATCCAAGCACTGTGCTCCCTCTGTCTTCATCCAGTATGGCTACATATTCTCTTGAAAGATTAATGATTTTATTTACAGAATGGGAAATACATCAGTTTGAAAATCTGGCCTGATATAATGGAAACTGGACAAACCCATAGTACTCTAGCTTGGGGAATACCAACATCCTGACATTGAAAATTATGCATTATCTTCCATCATGAGAAATCTTGGCTCTCATGCACCCCTTGTTCTCCCAATTTAGAAATCTTATCTCTCCAAAACTCATTAACCCGTGACTTCAGGATGATATATCAGGCTGGCCACAATTAGCCAGATGATGGTCCTATGGGAATTCCCTTCTGAGATGTCCATGTGACCTGCCAATTACTTGATCAAGGAAGCATTTGGATTTGTGCGGGAAACCTGTGCATTTTACATATGTTGTAATTATCACATGCCCCAAATTGAAAATGTAATTCATCTTGTTTACCGGGCAGTCAAAATTAATAAACAACCCTTAGAACTTGCCAGCTTGGTATTCACCACTAGACCTGATTGATGGAGATGCCTGTAAGAGTGTTCTACAGATATACAGGGCTCAGTAATAGAGTTAAAATAGCTCCCAGATGTGGGCCAGAAGTGTCCATGCTAACGTGGGGGTCTTGGGTAAATGATGAAGAGTCACAACAAGGCCTGAGAGCTCTGTTTCTTGTAAGAGTAGAAGAAGCTGCTGCAGCTTCTGTTCTGACCCTTCCTGGACTGAGATGAGAGGAGGAAGTGTCGCTCACCAGGGTACTGTGACAGGGGAGACGCTTCTTCGGGCTTCCTGAAGAGGAAGACCCCTTGATCAAGAGTAATGGGTAAGGCCTTACGGTTTGGGTTGGCTGGACCTGACTATATCTATCACTGACTGCCTAACTTTGGGCAAGTTACTGTGAAAATGTGTTAAGAAGAATAACTTTTAGACTATAACTCCAAATTAGCGGTTACTAGGAGGGAATGAGGCCGGTCAATTACACAGTAAAAGATAGAACTGGACTTAATGTAGTATATACAGACATTGATTTAGAATAATGCACAACTTGAAGCGAGTGTTCTAATGCAATGTTACTTCAATAATAAAAAAGACAAAAACTGTTCATCCCCTTGGGTTATCATGGCCACCTAGAGCTGCTCTTATGATGCAAACCCTCCCAGGTTGCAGAGTGACAGGCAAGATCCCCTACCCTTGGACAGAGGAGACATGGGCTGGAGTACTGGGAAGTAGACTCAGTGCCTCCTGTGGGGAAATCATGTTTTACTACCAATACTCTAGTCAAGAACCAGGGACACCAACCTAATGGGCAATGGATGGGGGTTGGGGGCCTACTGGTTCATAACTGAGAGAAGAAAGCCCACATTACAGTGAAACTGAGGAGGAAACTCAGGGGCAAGAAAGCCTCAGGCCCCAAAGACAAATATCCCAAAATTTGGAAGATGGAAATATGAGCTCAGAAAGAGGCAGCCAACATGTCACCCTCATCACCACACTCCGATGGAGCCTTTCTGGCTTTCTGGTGGCACCTGCATGGCATCAAGGAGCGGAGCCCTGGCCTGTACTGACATACAAGCCATGAAAAAGAAATCAGCTCTGAGGCTGTATGAACTGGGCGGACAGCAGCTATATGAGCTGCCGATGCAGTGGGTCCCAACAACCTTCAAGAAAATCCCAAAGGTGGAGGCCTCAGAGTCCAAGACCAGCCAAGAGGTGGCTTCCCAACACTCTAGCCAGTTCCTTACTCTCTGTCACATGCCAACCTTAGACTCCAAGGACACCAACTTATAAAGCCTCCCTCTTCCATGGCTTCTCTGCTTGAGACTTATTCCCCTCCCCGCTCTCTGATCTTCTCGACTCATCCTGTAAGGTTACCCTCAAGCTCTTATGTCACCCATGCACTGGTCTGCCTTTTGCAACCCCAAGAGACTGGAATCACTGTGAACTTGAAGCATTTAACAGAACTAAGTCACATTTGTTTAAAGACTCAATCAATCAAAGGGGCCTCCCCTGGTGGCACAGCGGTTGAACGTTGTGAAGCTGCCCACAGCCTCTGCAGCACCGGTTCGATCCCCAGCCACTGGTGAGAGTACCACATAGCGTGACAGACCTCTCCTGCCATGCCCGCTGCTCCCCTTTGCAGTGTATTTCCTCAGTCTTCCTGTTCTGCTCCCTGATCTGGCTCTGGTGAATTCTCTCACCCTCCTGTGCTTCTGACTGTACCCAGTGCTTGTATAAGTAAATAAATTAATTAAAAAAAAAAGACTCAATCAGCACTGCACTTGATCAATGAAAATGGAGAGAATCAATGAATGCTACATGTCTGTAGCATGGCCATGGGGTGAGGGTGTCTGGCATGACCTTCTGCTCTGGCAGAGAAGGGAGCTGCAGCAGGTTGTCCACATACACCCTAGCCAGACAACTGCCCTTCTGAAACACCCTGCAATGCCCCCTCAGCTCCTGCCTTGCACTGGCTCTTCTCTATGCAAATGCCCATACAGGAGGATGCCTCACACTCTCTGGCATCATTCTGTTTGTCTGTACGTGTCCTGTATGTCTGAGAGTAGGAACAGGTGTCATGCATCATGGGGACCAGTACCTAATGAGGTAGTTCAGACTTTCTAGGTCCTTGTAGGGGCCCAGACTTAGTGACTAGACAAAATGGGCGGTTTATAAAAAAATTACAAAATTAATGGTTTATAAAGCAGAGCACATCGCTATGACAGATTAAAACCTAAATAAGTTGTTATGATGGTTTATAAATTAACCTCAGTGCAGCCAGTTCCGGTGGGTCACTCCTCCCACCATCAGTCCCTTGGGAGAACTGCACCCCTAAATCAGGGAGCCTCAGGAGCCAGCGCACAGGAGATGCTCTGTCCTCCTCCCTCTCCATCCCCAACACCAGGCAGCCCCCCTCACCCATACCCCCTGTTACCTGCGTCCCCTTTGCTTCCTTTCATGCCTGCTGGTCCTGGACTCCCGGGTGTCCCTGGAGGTCCTGGGCAACAGATGCCACAGCGGGCGTAAGGTCGGGCTATGTGGATCTTCAGACACCACGCCCCAGGCCACTAGGGATGGAGGCCCTCACCTGTCTGTCCAACGAAACCAACGCGGCCGGGCTCACCCCTGGCACCTGGGAATCCTGCTGCACCAGGAGGGCCGAGAAGACCCCTGGGTCCAGGTTGACCTGAAAGTTAAGTCATGACTGCAAGGCTGGCGTGGTTGGCCTGGCTGCCCACCCCCTCAACACGCCCCTATCTCAGTGCAGGGAGACCCAGATCACCTAATGGTCATATGTCGCCTCAGCAGCTTTAAACATCTGTCTTTAGAAGACAAGAACTAGTCCTCTAAGTGGGAGGAAAATTACAGTCTCAACAATGTATTAATTTTTTCTCATTCCCTGCTGCAGTTTGGGACTTGTGGACTCACTCAGAACTCTGGCTTGTGAGTGTCTTGGTCCACACCTCTGTGTGCAGAGTGGGACTAAACTCTAAAGAGGAATATCAATGAATCATGCTGCTCTGTTTCTCTTGGGGGGGCCCAGTTTTAAGAAATCCCATATAGTCTGGGTTTATACTACCATGAAATAAAAGATAGTGGAAGCATGTTCTGGACTTGACTTTGCCCAGGGACAGTCTAGCTGGAATGGTGCCCAGATCCCCAGAGTTCCTACCTTGATCTCCTTTGATTCCAGGAATTCCAGCCACACCTAAAATGAAGAAGGACTTTTAGGGATTTTTTTCCCCCCCTCTAGTTCAGCCTGATAGGAAAAAAAAAAAGAAAGAAAGAAAGAAAAAAGGTAGGCGAGATAGCTACAGGCCAATGCACTTAACCATGCAGCCTCTTACCTGGGGGTCCTGGCTGTCCTGAATCACCTTTTCTTCCTTGGGCTCCAGGGGGTCCCATGACACCCGTGTCTCCTTTCACACCCATGTCCCCTTTGCTTCCTGAAAAAACAAGGCATCGAGTTCTGACATGGGAGGAGGGCAAACCAGGTCACCAGTTCCCACTCTGACACCCCCAAACCAACCTCACTCCTGTCCCACCCCCAAAACCTCACTCCTGCTGATCTCCGTGGTGTGAGATACAACTGCTGCCTTCAAGGTTCCCAGGGAAATGAGACAGCAACTCATGCAAAATGGATCAGGTGACCCGGCCTGGCTGATGGGCCATGGCAGGGACAAAAGTGGGCTCTCAGGACCTCGGTCAGCGCCTGGCTCACTCGGGAGGGATCCCAACCTAGACTCTGCCTGGGTTTCTTTTAGTGTCTACCTTTGGGGATTTATTTTTCAAGCTTTCAGAACTGAAACCTGAGTATTCCAGAAAGCAGAACTCCAATGCTGAGGATAGAAATCTGAGGCATTGATAGAGAGCAAAAACATTGTGGCAGCTCAGATAGCTGCCAGCGGGCCAGCTGCAGGCATTCCTGGTATACAAGTTTTCAAATTTTCCACTTGTCATCTGCATTCTAGGCTCAATCCAGCCTGTCCTCTCCTTGGTCCTCCACTGCTGTCACTTCCTTCTCCCTTCCTGCCACTGCTTGGTGCATATAAATTGAGGGAGGCTGCTCACAGGGCAGGACTGGTGACCCCTTTCCAAACTTCAAGTTTGGTTAGGAAGCAGACTGCAGCTGTACCAGCAGGTCCTGCTCATCGGCATCCCCCAAGCTTGGCTGAGATTCAGAAAAGCCCCTTCAGCCAATTGCCACCCCAACAACTCCCTCAGGAACTGGGACTGGCCTGTTGGGATGGAATTTGGTTAAGAGGCCCCATGCCATTATTTCCTTGACCTCACAGCTGGAGAGACTTCCAGGAAGGGTGCCAGTGAGTAGGAAAGGAGACAAAATGATCAAAAGCAGAGGGGAACAAGCAACAGTCATGCAAGTCTTTCTCGGTCTAGGCTGTGAGAGATGTCAGGGGCAGGCTGGGAATTGATCGCTGGCGATGGTTTGTATACTTGAGGAATGATTGCTCCTTCACGGAAGACAACATGCTATGAAGAACTTGCCACAGTCTCAGCTGCAAACAGCACTGAATGGCCCTTCGGCGTCCACTCTGACAGAAGGGACAAGCGGCACTTGCGAGAAGGGACTAGGGATTGTTTCACTGGAGGAATTAGTTGGTGTCTCACTGCTCTGAGGGCCAGAGCCATCATGAAACACCTTCTGGATGAACCCTTGTGTCCTCACGGCCAGCCGCTCTCCTGTCTTCCCCAGGCCATCTCTTGCTTCGCACTTCAGAGCCTCCTCTTCCGCTCCTCTGAGGACCTCCCACAGCCTGTATCCCCACCTGCTTCCAGCCGTGTGTGGCTTGAAATTGTCACCCCTTCCACATGCTCCTCAGGTCTCCTGGACATAGGGGGCCACATCTGTGCTTCCAGGATTCCCACAGAGAGCACAGCCCTGTCTTGGTGAGCACAGAATCGACAGAGCTGCACAGAGTTGGGGTCCAGTTTCCTCAACCTCCTAGCAAGTGCCAACACCCCCAACTTGGCCCTTACCTGGAAGGCCCAGATCTCCTTTGTCTCCCTTGGCACCAGTGTCCCCTTTTGGTCCAGTGAGACCCCCATCGCCTTTGCTGCCCTTCTCTCCTTGGGGTCCTGGTGTGCCTGTGAAGGGAATGGCCGGGTGGATGGGCTCCCACCGTCCTAACGGAGGGGGACTCCAGGGAGTGGGGTGGGAAATATTCTGGCGAGAAAGGAAAGAGGTCCCAGAGGAAGTCTGGAAGGTATGTTAGCTCATTTCTTGGGTGGTTTTGATGAGGTACAATAAGACTCAAGAGGAAAGGACTGTGGTTTTGTCTTAACCTTCTGGGGCTCGGGGATGTGGAGAGGGGACCTTGGGGACAACCGGCTCAGGGCCTTGGCCCAGGCATCACTGAGCCTGCAGGGGCTGCACAGATTACCAGTGGCTCCTTGCTTCCCTGGAGCGCCTTTGGATCCTTGGAGACCTGAGGAGGAGAGAAGAGCTCATTCATTGTGGTCTGTGTCTTGGTTCAAGCAACCTCCTAGAGCCCTGCCTTGAACAAGGCAACCCACAGCAGGTCCCCCTCCCTCCCTCCCTCCCTCCCTCTCTCCCTCCCTCCCGCCCCTACCCCAGGCACAGGTGCATGCTCATGAGGCAGTTTGCTTCATCCCAAGGGGCAGTGTCGTGCCTGGGAGGCTGAGAATGCATCCTGCATGGTAGTGGAGGAAAGACTTGAGAGGAAGCTTTGCGTTGTGGCTCTGCCACTCAGCAGAACGCATGACTGCGGAAAAGCTACTTAAGTATTCCCCACCTCAGTTTTCTCATCAGCAAAACGGGGCTGGTAATGACCACCTGATTGTGCGTCAGCGCCCAGCACAAAACGGAAAAGAGAAACAACAGTCCCTCCCGAGCGGCACAGGGGCACAGGTGAGGCTGTGGAGCTCTGACTGGAGGTGTAAGGTGTCCCGGAGGTGGGGGGGAAGTCGGGGAGGGCTCCTTGGAGCAGGAGAATGCAAATGCGAGGCCATTGGGGGTCCAGGAGGGAGAGTGCGAAAGGAGGAGAAAAAAAGGTGGACGTGTGCAGAGGCCAGAACCGTCTGTTACGCAATCGCTTGGCTGCGGAGCTTCCTCGAGCGCAGGTTCCTAAGGCTATGACTTGCATTAAGGTGGCAGCCTGGTGAGGCGCCTTTCATTCATCCTTTTGAATGAAAGGATCAGACGCTGCGCCCTCTGCGAATCACAACTGCATCTGACCTCAGAGTTAATCACAGCTATGAGTGGGAATTTCTGAATTACATGATTTTCCCTGGGGTTGGGATTAGGGGGTGCAGGGGGTTTCTGTCTGTACTCCCTGTGGAACCACAGAGGCCTATTTTGTGTGTGGTCCACAGGAGGGTTTGGGTTGGAGAAAGGGTGGCCTGGGTTAAGTGAGATGGCACAGCCCAGCTGAGGCCTCTGTCAGAGCAGAGTGGACACCTCTCAGAGCTCTGAGAGAGGATGTCCATGCGCCACTCCTTCTCAAAGGGAGGGCTGGTACTTTCAGGCAGGCCTGTGTGGCTCTGCCCAGTGAGTTCCTCTGGCCCAGGTCACACCCTTTCTCTCTAGGAAAAAAAGAGAGGAGAGGGAAGCCAGCACACCCTGAGACACCCTCCCTGAGCTGAGCCCCACAGGCTGAGCGTGGCTGAGTGTGTTCTCAGGATGTATGAGCACATGTGTAGGTGTGTACGTGAAAGTATGAAGACATGTGCACCTATGTGTGTGCACGCCAGGGCTGTGGGTGCCCCATGCACCATAAGCTCTGCTCCCATTTTTTGCCCATCCTCCCCCTAGAAACCCTCCTACTGGAGACTTAGAAGAATAGACTCCTTGGGATGCCTTCTATTAAATTCCTTTCAAACACTAGTTCCTTCATAGGTTGAGTCCTAACCCCTTGTGTCACCAGGGACAAACCGCAGCCACTGCAGCATGAGTTCGATCCCTGGCCAGGGAGTTACCCACATGGCGTGGCAGACCTCTCCTGTCTCGCCTGCTGCTCCCCTCAGCAGTGTATTTCAGTGTGCACGCGTATTCTGTTCCCTACTCTGTCTCTGGTGAATCCTCTCCCCCACCCACACCTCTAGCCTGTACCCCAGTTCTCGTATGCATAAATAAATAAATCTTTAAAAAAAAATTAGTTCCTTGAAAAAGACTTACGCTCCTAACAAGTTTCCCTTCTGTAACTGGCGGTGTTTTCTTCCTGCCTCAGTCTAGAGGCTTAGAGCCTGTGGATTTGCTTCCCTCCCACCCCTGCAAATCCTGTCATTCTGCTCCTTTCTCTAGCAAGGTTTTATTGTTTTGCATCTTTACATATCATCAGCCTCAATCCCTCCCAGGATCTGGAAGTTGGGGTGTCTAGGTGGAAAATGGAGGGGGCCGGAAGGTTGATGACTTTCCAGTTTGGATCTCCCTCCACCCCACCCCCATGGAGAAGCTGGCAGCTGGCAGCTAAAGGCAGAAATAATCATGGGCTTGTAATTAGTCTCTCCAATCTTTCAGTAACCCTCTGAAGCACTCTCATCCCCATCTTATTCTAGACAAGAAACCGGGGCCGCATGAGGTCAGGGGACTCCCTAGCTCACAGAGTGAGGCCATGTCGGGGGTGATGCTCAGGATCTTGGGTCCCTGGATCACAGAGCTCGACTCCCCCCACTCAGAGCTGCAGGCTTGCCCTCTTGAGCATGAGTGGGGATTGGGGAATCTATACCCCTCCAGCCCTAAGTAGGTACCCTCCTCACATGTGGGCTACTTCCCAGCATCTCCAGCCCATCTAGTGTCTAAGCTGGCTGGCCCCCTCACACACAAACCCCTGGGGCATTAACTCTCAGAGAAAGTCTGCTGTGGGTGCCAGTGCACGCACCTAGCTACTACTCACCTGCCTCTCCCTTGACTCCTGGCGGGCCTTGTGGTCCTGGAGGGCCTGGAAAGGAAAAGAAACTCAGAACATAGCCTGGAAAATGAAGAGGAAAGGGATTGTGTGACCAGTAGACAGAGGTCTGTAACTGTGGCTCCATTGCATCCCTTGGCCCCTTCCTATCCAGTAAATGGGGGTTTCCAGGCATGCCTCGGGAGCCCTTTTGACCTGAAAATCTGAGGAAGAGGAGCAGAGACACCAATGAGCCAACCAACAAGGTGAAATGACTATACCACTCACGAATAGTCATTCAACAACCAGTCACTGAACACAGGGGACCAGACCACTGGTTTTGGGGGAAGAGAAATTCCTCATACAGGAAGGAAAACTGTGGAAGGAAGGAAAGAGAAGAAGATATCTCCTGCATGCTGTGCAGGTAAAACACAACCATCTTCTCTTCTGAGGCGGACTGAGTCAGATGGATGTGGTGCTGCCCCTTAACTGGGTGACCTTGTACAAGTAAATTCATTTTGAGCCTCGGCTGCCTCAGCAGTAAAATGAGGTTGTCAGTCAGTTATGCAGCTGTCTAGAGGCCGCCAGACTCACAGGCTCCAGGTGAATGGCGCCTCAGTGTGGCATTGGGCACACCATTTCCGTGCCTGGGCAGGTGGGAGATGGCTCCTTGACCCATCCCAGTCAGTTTGGGCTGCTCTATTAAAATATTTCAGGTGGGTAACCACTTAGCAGCAGATAGAGCTGGATGTCCAGGGTCCGATGAGTGGGTAAGGCTGCCTGAAGTCCCTCCGACCCATGGAGTGATCTGGGCCATACTTGAAAAATGATGAGACTAATGATGAGAGTTCTGTCTCAAGAACATTATGTACCTAGACTTTCAAGGTAAAATCTCAACCACTTAGCAGGGACATGTGTGAGTGTGTGCATGTGTGTATACACAACCCATGTTTGACATTTTTTACACATCACCCCACATGACTCTCAAAGTCACTCTTTAAGAGTAAGGTGAGTAAAAGTATTTCCATTATTTCCTACACAAGTGAGCAGCCAAGATTTCAGAAAGTGAAGTGACAGGCCCGGAATCACACAGCTGGTGGGCTGTGCTCCTGGGACAGAACAATGTCAACCTGATCCCACAGGCTGCTCCTCTGTCATGTGATGCTCCCTCCCCAGTGGTGACGGTTCTTTAAGAGACATGAGCTGGGCACACCCAGACGGGGTGCTGAGGGTCACAAGTCTGGCAATAGGTGCCTGAGAACAGAATATGTGGGGGACAAAGGAGGAGACTTGCGCTACAGTGAGATGCCTGGGGCAGGCCCACTGAGGGATGTGCCCGGGACAACCAGGGAGATGGCTGGCTTGGAAGGGTGGAGTGGAATGGGGCAGCCATTTCCAATTGCAGGATGGGAGTAGGGTCCAGGTTCAGGAGCTGGAAGTCCAGGCATAGCCAGAGGACAGAAAAGCACCCTGAGTTTGTGGGGAGGCTTTGGGGGCCAAGGAAGGTAAGCTGGCGTCAGGTGGTGAGATCCAGACAGGTCCAGACCAAAGAGTCCTTGGGGAAAGGCTGTGAGGAGAGGGTAAGAATGGGCCAGAGTGGAAATGAACCTACCTGGAGCTCCTCGTTCACCTTTGACCTGGAACAGCTCTGTAAGAGAAGGTTCAGATTGAGCTGTGGGGGCTCCCAGGGCTCCCAGCTCCATGTTAGAAGCGTGAGCGCTCCCAGGCGAGGAGCAGAGGATTTGAGCAGACGGGGGAACAGCCGAATGTTTAATTGTATCTAGTATTCCACACCTGAGAGCTGGAGATCCCTGGGAGTTGCAGTCCACCTCTGGAACATTTTCTCTGCCTTCAGCCTTGCCACCCATGCCACCCTGTTTTCCCAGCAGGCCCAGCTGTCCTCTCCCCTCCAAGATGCCCACATTGTCTAGACCGGCTTGGTGTTTGCCACCCGGTCATGGACCAGTATAAGTTGGCAGCACCAGAGTGGTCCTGGGGATTGCCCTAGGTTCTGCATCTTACCCACCCTCTAAAATATTCTGGATCAGTCTGAGGGTTCTGTGACTCAGACCCAGTCTCGGTCTGCTTGCTCTAGTCCCTGGTTCTTGCAGGTCACACTCTGCTTGGACAAGGACCCTGGTTCCCACATGCCTGATGCCACTGCCTCCCACAGTCCTGTCTGGAGTCACTTATGCAGCCCACCGGCGCTTCAAGCCCATCCTGTATGGCTCTTGCCCCATGCCTTGGCCCCCAGGATCCCATGCCAGACCAGGGGTCTGGAAGATGTCCCCTTTGTCAAGGAAGGGGATTCAAGTCTGAAAACCCTCTTCTCTATCCCCTTTCTTCCCTGAGGAGGAGGAGACCAAACCTGGGCGCGGAGGAGGCCAAACCTGGGCTCCGAGTAAAGTTGTCCACCTGTTGCAGCAGGTGCTCCTGCCTGAAGCGAAACTGGGTGAGCTGGGCCTGCAGGTCTTGCAGCCTGGGTACACCGCCAGACAGATATGGGACATGCGCCGACCGAAGCAAGGAGAAGGACGGGCTGCGCTGGGTGGCCATCGTGTCATTGGTAAAGTACGTCTCCAGGGTCAAGAGGCGCTCCTGTAGATTCAGAACTGGACACCCGCCCCCAGCCCCTCAGTATTCTTTTAGGGACCTCACTGAAGTCCAAGGCATTGAAGCATATCCTTCATGTTCTTGTGTCATGTTTGCATCACTGTAGGTGTTGAATATGTGGACACACGTGTCATGTGCTGTGAGGACCTGGCGTGACAACATCACTTTTTCTATAGTCAGCAAGTGTGTACTCCACATACTGGCATGATAGTACATTTCATGGCCTAAAAATGTGCCCACTACTCCCAAGACCAACCCTCACCCTTTGTGCAGTTAAGACTTCATGCATGCTCTGGGCATGACTGCATAACAGCTAAAATGCTGATCTTGTCATGTGTGACCTTAGTATGCATGTGGCAAGTGTTCATGACAACTGGGCACACGGCAAAGCTCTTGACTGATTTCAATGTGTGCTGATAGAATTGCTCCAGGAAGGTGACCCACATGGCATAGGAGACCTCTCCTGTCTCGCCCGCTGCTCCCCTCAGCAGTGTATTTTAGTAGATCTGTCTGTTCTGCTCCCCACTCTGTCTCTGGTGAATTCTCTTATCCCCTCCCTCTGCACCTCTGGCCTATATCCCAGCTCTTGTATGCATACATAAATAAAACACATCTTTTTTTAAAAATCATGATAAATGAACTCTCTGGCTAATAGATAGCCTTTCTACTCAGAGATTGGGAATCCTTGAGGTAATGTGCACATGCATACTTGTATGCTTTAGGCACATACAGGTGCACATGTGACTTCTCTCTCTCTCTCTCTCACACACACACACACACACACGCACACACACACACACCCCTCTGCCGCCCTATCCCTAAACCCCATATCTGAGGTTTCTCAGGGACTGAGAACGCTCCCCTAGGAGGGAGCAGCAGCGGCCTCAGGCTCTCCACTCAACCTGAGTCCTGTCTCCGATGGGGACAGGTTCACTCACAGCAGGAGGGGCCAGACAGGGCCAGGACTGCTTTACCTTGCACCACCAGCAGCCCGGCGCCCGCGGTGAGTAGTGTCAGATAGATGGACACTGTGGCCATGAAGCAGTTCACCCCATTTCTCTTCTTGGGTTTTTGATCTGTAACACAACCCCAGCCAAGGTGACTGCAGAGGGTGGAGAGCAGGGGGCCCCAACCTGTGCCCAAATCCCCTGTATGTGAGTAGAAAACTCCCCTTGAGGTCCAGTGGGAAAGACACCGAAGATTCGTTATTCCCTTGATTCTCCTACGTGCCACAAGCAAGAAATGTCATTGTCAGTCACTCATTTTTGTGGCTGGGCAAACCTCTGTGCTAGCAGAGTAGGGTCCTCAAACCAGGTGTTACATCAACCTTGTTCATTGGAAAATCCTCAGGTGGTGCCTAACCTTAGGGGCCTCTCAATAGAGTCTCATTGAATGAATTCGTGTCTTTAAGTTTCAACACTCCAAGAGGAAGGCAGTAGTTCCCATTTTATAAATGAGCAAGGTATGGAGAAACTGAAAGCCTTTTAAGTTAGCAGAAGCAGATCTGGAATTGGCATATGGGCCTATGGGCCTTTTCGTTCATTTTCTTTAGATTTTTTAACTATTAAAGTAAAACATGCTTACATGCAATTATCCAACAATTTAGAGAGCATCACAGGGTTAACAATCTTCCCCCAACCCCCCGAGGTTCTAACCCTTGGACTGTGACCTTCCCTCCTTCTTGTTCCTGGAAATGTACAAACGCGCTTACCGTTACATAGACCCATTTCTTCCTTTCAATCTTACACAATAATATCATATTACATTTCACACAGCACATTGCCTTTTGTAATGAATGTCCTTTCATGGACATTTCTCTAGTTTTCTTTGTAGAGAGAGATTTAATTATTCTTTTAATAACTAATATTCTTTAAAGGTAAAAGTCACAATTCATGCAAATATTTCCCTACTGAGGGATTGTGTCCATTTTGGGGCATTACAAAAAAATACTGCATAGGGCATTTTCCCTGGGTCTGACCCCCACACCAGCTGTTTTCCTACTTTGGGGCATCTAAGGCAGGGTCTTGCTGCTCACATTGATTGAGAACCTACTCTGTGTCAGGCATTGACTGACAAAATCCCTAATTCTTGCATCAATCCTGCAAGGTAGGTGTGATCACCCGCTTCCATAGAGGAAAGGCCTAGAATTCAGAGAAGTTAAAGTGACACAGTAGGAGGCACATGGCCCTGCATTTGTCTAAACTTAAGACTTGAGCTGGCTTCACTAAGCACTGTGACTGCTCTCCCTGGGAATATGCTGCTGAAATGTGTCTCAAGAGAAGATGTGCAAGGGAAAATAGATCAAGTGAGCAGCCCAGTCCAGGGCACTGACTGGGGGGCTGAAGCACCATTTTTGCTTTGTGAAAGGAGTGGCTTTTCAATTGACTCTTATACTAGGTTTGTATGAAACTGATGTCTTTTTTCCATTACCTGTGGGGCTTCTGTTATCTCCCTGCTATGTCATTCAGCGATGCAAGGATCTGGAATCCCTGCTTGAGCATTGCCTAATGTAAGGCGGTCTAGAGATGATTCTGGCAGCACCGAGAGGAGTGGATTTTTCGGTCGGGTGGTGTTTTAATTAGTGGAAAGTGTTTGAATTGTCTAACAGAGAGTGTCGGTCCCTCCTACCTTGTGCTGTACCCACTCCCTCAAATCTACACACACAGTTGCCTGAGTGAACTCTCCACACACCCTCCCCTGCCTTCAGCCCTTCAGTTGCTACCTCAGGACAACTCTCCTGTAGCTGTCAGCCAGCTCTGCTGTGACCACCTCTCCATACAACATCTCTCCATGGACGCTGACCAGTGGTCAGGCCAGGCCAGCCAGGGCCAGACCTTTCTGACTTCAGACAATGCATCTCCTCAGAAGACACAACCCTCTCCCCTCCCGTCTGCATGATTAATTCCTACTCATCCTTTGGGAGATTTTTTTACTCCAAGACACATACTGAGACTTCCCTTTCTCTGCTTCCCCAATCACTCTGCCTTGGCACTGATTATCCTGAACTAAGTCTGCTTATGTCTCAGTCAACCCCAAATGGCCTGGATATTCTTGGGCTATATTCCAGCACTGACATGGCATCTGGCATGGTGAGGATGGGTAACATACAAAGGAAGGCTCACATTTAACACAAGCTGGGTAGTGAGTGCAATCTCAGAGACAGTGTTCAAATTGGCAAAACATAACAGGTAATGAAAATGAAAAAAATTATTGTGCTTCAGAGGCACAGGTATTATAGAGGGCAGAGCTGGGGGAGAGGGTCATTAAGCATGTATAGAATATTTCATGCAACAACAGCAGAAAATGCATTTTTTCCTTGTACACATGGAATATATACCAAGATAGATATACTCTGGACCACAGAGAAAACCTCAATAAAATATAAAAGAAATGAAGTCACACAGAATATGTTCTCTCGCAATAATTGAAGTAAAACAGAATTAATAGCGTTAAGACAACAGGAAAATCTCCAAATACTTAGCCATAAAAAAAGAAACCTAAATAATTGAGGAAAAGTCTCAAAAAAAAAAAACTTTAAATAGAACTGAATAAAAGTTAAAAGACAATATGTCAAACTATGGGATACTGTTAAAGCAGCACCTAGAGGGAAATTTATAGCATCAAATGCTTTTATTACAAATGAGAAAAGATCTTAAAACAGTTAACTAAGTGCCTAGAAACTAGAAACAAAGAACAAAATAAACTCTGAGCAAACAGAGAAAGGAAATAATAATGATCAGAGCAGAAATCAAGGAGATTTAAAATGGGAGTACAAAAGAGAAATTCAATAAAACAAAATGCTAATCTTTAAAAAAATAAAACTGATAAGACTTTAGCAAGACTGCAAAGAAAAATGGAAGAATACACAAATCACCAATATCAAGACTGAAGCATATTAAAAAAGAAAATAAGGAGATACTATTTCTAACATTATGATCACCAATTCCTCAAAACTCACAAACTACCAAACTCAACAAAGATGAAAGAGATAATATGAATATTTATAACCATTAAACAAACTAATTTACAATTAAGTCTTCTGAAAAGGAAATATCCAGATCTAGATGATTTTATGGGAGTATCCTAACAAACTTTTTTTTTTGGTCTTCAATAAATATTTATTAAATTCAACTGGATCATATTAAAATCCCTTTATCAACTTCTGGTTTGAACATAATTATATTTTCCATCATGAGAAAGGGAGGAGGAGAAGAAAAAGATTGCAACCTAAAAGAATATCAGTATCTCATTGAATAAGGAAGCCCCAAAGAAATATTTATTATATGAAGTCACAAAATATTCTTTAAAAACCTCATATGCCCTGCTCTAGAAAATTAATTTTTTCCAAATCAATAGTAAATGTTCTAGTCTATTCAATCTAAGCAGTTAAGCCTATGGTAAATTCAGGTGTTACATAAATTTAGTAACAATTCTTCCTTTATAACAGATTAAAGATATTGTCAATAGGAGAGTTCTCACTAGTTTGCTATTAAGAACTTTAAAGATTTCATCCTATACATCTTTTTTTAAAAATCAGCATTGAGTTTACAATCACTTGTAGATAGTAAAAGAGTAAACTGGAGAACAGCTCTTAATTCATTTTATAATGTCATGCTTTTCCTAATGTGAAAATCAGACAAGGACAGTCCAACGAAAAGCAAACAAAAGATGACTAACTCTCATGATATCTGACATAAAAATTCTCAACAAAATACCTCATAAGCATAGCAAACAATGTATAAAAATAATTTATATACCATCATTTGCAGGTGTGCAAGTCTGTTTCAATATCTGAAAATCAACCAATAGAACCACTATATCAATTGGCTAAGGGAAAAGAAATCATGTAATCATATCACTGATGCAATAACCACACTTAGTAAAACCCAACTCATAATAAAACTCATAATTCATTATTTTAATTCTCATAATAAATAACAAGTTTATAACTAAATTCTCAGCAAATTAAAAGTAGAGAAATGCTTCCCCAACTTAAAAAAACGCATCTACAAAATATATGAAGTTAACATCAAACTTACAGTGAGACAAACTATTTTCCTCATAAGATTGGAAAAAAGACAAGTTTGTACTCACTCTTTTATTCAATCGCATTTCTATATACTATTGACAAACAAATATACATAGAAATTAAAAATACAATGACATTTATAATCACTCCAAAAAATGAAATATTTAAATATAAATTTAACAAAATGTTTTTAGGATCTATTAGTTGAAAAGGAGACAATCTTGATTTCAAAAATATCAAAGACCTAAATAAATGTATCAGCATACCATGACAATCCACTCATGGATTATAAGACATGTCATTTCTCAAATAAGTTATATTAAATTTACACAGAAAGGCACAAATCCTAGAATAAGTAAAATAATCTTGAAAAAGAAGAAGAATATGTGAGGAATAACTCCACCTGATGTTAAGGCTTATAATAAACCTGTAGTAATCAAGGCAGCATTTTTGGGTGGAGGGCCAGACATAATATAAATATAGACTGATAGAACAGACTAAAGAACAGAAATAAACCCACACAAATTAATCCAACTGATTTTAGATGAACATGCAAAGTAATTAATGGAAGAATTAAGACCTTTTTAGCAAATGATGTTGTAGCAATTGGACGTCAATAGGTAAAACAAACAAATAAACAAGCTTTAACCTAAACTTCATACTTTTTTTTTTTTTTAAGATTTATTTATTTTTTTATTTATTTATACAAGCACTGGGTACAGTCAGAAGCGCAGGAGGGTGAGAGAATTCACCAGAGCCAGAGCGCGGGGAGCAGAGCAGGCAGAAGGACCGAAGGACACTGCTGAGGGGAGCAGCGGGCGGCAGGAGAGGTCTGCGCGCCATGTGGGACCCTCCTCCGGTGGCCGGGGAGCAGCCGGGGATCGAACCGGCGCTGCAGAGGCTGCGGGCAGCTTCGCAACCCAGCGCTCAACCGCTGCGCCACCGGGGAGGCCCTAAACTTCATACTTTTTTACAAAACAATTCAAAATGAACCAGGAACTTAATTGTAAAATGTAAAATGATAAAACTTTCAGAATTAAACATGAGGTGGTGTTCTTAGACTTGATACCATCATTAAAAGTACAACTCATAAAAGAAAAAAATAAGTTGGGCCTCGATGGAATGAAATAGTTTTGCTTTGCAAATGACTTGGTGAGAAGATGAAAAGACAAATTACAAAGTGAAAAAAAATATTTACAAACTACACACCCAGGAAAGAACTTGCATCTTCAATATGTAAAGAACTGCCAAAACTAAAGAGTAAGAAACAAAGGATCCAATTAAAACATTGGCAAAGGACATAAAGAAGTCATTAAAAGATATTCATCATTAGTAACTATAAAATGCAAATGAAAATTACAGTGAGCTATCATTATCACACACCTATCTGAATAGTTAAAATAAAAATAATAATAATACTAATCATTGGCAAAACACAGAGAAACTAGACCAGTTACCCACTGCTGGTGGGAATGTAAAATAGCACATACACCCTGGAGAAGCAGATCAGCTGCTTCCTGTGAAAACAAGCACACACTGATAATCCAACAATTGCACTTCAAGGCATTTACCCCATAGAAATGAACTTAGGCTTACATAAAATATTTTACATCAATAGCAGATTTATTTGTAATAGTTAAAAGCTAAAAACAACTCAAATGTCATTCAATGGGTGGATAGTTAAATAAACTGTTGTGCATCCATATCACGGAGTGATACTCATCAATAAAAAGAACTTCCTGCCTGGCATCCCTGGTGGCCTACATGTTGAGTCTCATTGCTATCACCGCTGCCTGAGTTCAATCCCCAGCCAGGGAGCTGACCCACACAGGGTGTAGCAGACCTCTCCTGTCTCACCTGCTGCTCCCCTTAACAGTGTATTTCAGTAGATCCAACTGTTCTGCTCCCCACCCTGTCTCTGGTGAGTCCTTCACCACCAGTACTGCTAGCCTGTACCCCAGTACTTCTACACACACACACAAAATATGTTTAGGGCCTCCCCTGGTGGTGCAGGCGGTTGAGCACCACGCTATGAAGCTGTCCGCAGCCTCTGCAGCGTAGGTTTGATCTTGCCAGCCGGGGCGGGTCCCACATGGCGCAGCAAATCTATCCTGCCTCGCCCGTTGCTCCCCTCAGCAGTGTATTTCATCAGTCTCCCTGTTCTGTTCCCCACTCTGTCTCAGGTGAATCCTCTCACCCACCTGCGTATCTGGCCTGCACCCCAGTTCTTGTATAAAATAAATAAATAAATCTTTGAAAAAATGTTTAAATTAAAAAATAAGGATTATGTTCAGTGATATAAGTCAGAAGGAAAAAGGAAAATATCGGATGGTTTCACATACAGGAGGAACCAAATCAGGGATCCAAATAAGGGATCTGGGGAAAAAATAATAACAATAAAAAAACACAACACAACAAAAATAAACAGGCAACTATAAATCAGATACATTCTGCAGGGGAGAGGGAGAGAGAGGGATCAAAACAAGGGCAGGAAGAACCAAGGGACAAGCCCAGGGGAACTGGTGGTGGAAATTCTATGGGGAGGACTCCTGAGAAAAGAAAGAAAGCAAACACTGTAAAAAAAAAAAAAAGGACAATGATGTAAACTATATAAAAATAATTAAATTAAACAATAAAAAAAGAAAAAGAAAAGAAAAAAGACTATACTGGTCCATACAACAACTTGGATGGGTCTCAAGGGAATCAACAAAGTAAAAAACAAACAAGAAACAAACTTTAGAAAGTTACTGTAATTTCATTCATAGAACATGTTTTAATAGCAAAATTATAGAAATGGGGAACTGATGAATGGGTGGCGGGAACTGTGATTGCTGGTGGGGGAGCGAGGGGTGTGAATGGTTGCGAGAGAGATTTTGGCAGTGGGCACCTAAATACATACGTATGATAAAGCTGGAGAGAGCTACATTCAGCCAGCAATGACAGCATCTAAAACTAGTGAAATCTAAATCAACTCTGTGTATTGTATAACATCAGTTTCCTGGTTGTGGTCATGTATGGTAGCTATGAAAAGTGTCACTGCTGGGAGAAACTGGGTAAAGGTCAGATATTTTCCACTACATTTTTTTTTTTGCAACTTTCTGTGAATCTATAATTATTTCACAATTCAATCTTAAAATTTAGAAACCTCTAGGTTTGTTTGTTTGTTTTTAATGTTGAAAAATAGAGACCTGACAAAGAACAAAGGGAGAACACTGATAGGCAATGACAGTAGTCACATCAGCCAGGCTGACCTGGAGTGGACTCCGGGTCTAAGGACTGTTAGGAGAATGTTTTCAATTCCAGTTAGAATTGGAAGAAGGGACAGAAAAGCCACAGCTGAGAACTAACGCTTCCTGCTAACTAAAATAAAAAAAAAAACATCAAAACATAATTCTCCTCCTGTATTATTTGGGGTCATCTCTGTCAAGAAGAATGTTCTTCAGATAGAAATTGGTGGGAGGAAAAATCATAAAGAAAGATGAAGGTTGATATAGTTGAAGACTTGGGTGAGTGGTCCAGCGAGATTATATCCCACAGACCGGCAAGAGCTTGCCCAGGTGATAACAGAACTCTGAGAAACCGGATTCTTCAGGAGACTGACAAGACTCAAGCTAGAAAAATGGCCATCATTTACATAAAAAGTGGAAAGGAATGCACCCCTGAACGATATTGTCACAGACAATGCAAAGTCTCTCACTCAAGTTCCGGTGTTTGTTGAGGGGGTAGATGGGGCTGATACCAGTTGAAGAGGAAAGGTTGGGGTTTGGTTGGACCTTAAGGGCAGCAAGAGTTAATGGTATGTCTAGCCTCTTCAGAAAAGCAAAACAATTTCAGCAGATAAGATATGAAAAATAAAGATGCCTGAAAGATCAAGTGCTGAAACTGGTAGTTTTATCATCTCAGTAATCCCTGAGGAGGTCACTAGTTTACAGACACTGACAATGATCACTGTCTATAATGGCACTCATCTAGAAAGTTCCATATGCACCATGATCTTTATATAAGATCTTTATATAAGAAGTTGTGAATGCATTTAAGAAAGGCTTCCATCTAAATTAGAGTGATTTTAGATTTTGGTTAGATGCTTAGTTAGTTCTAACCCAAGTGAGAAATCTAGGGTTTACGCTCAATGCTTGGATCTTCCTCACCTGCGCTGTTCTTACTGGTCTCTCTGCTTTTATCTCTCCAGAGCATTCACTCTTTCCTTCCTTACACCCACTGCCTCTCATCTCTTGCTACCAAGCTCCTCTTTGTCCTCAGAGTTAAGTCTTTCCAGCTAGTCCACCATCTATGATGATTAATCTCAAGGGTAAATCAATGCTTCCCAGTCCTGACTTCAATCCCTTCAAAGGTCCCCATTGCTCTCCGACAAAGTCCAAGTTCATGCGTGGTAGTTTCAACCCCCTTGAGTTTCCCCACACAATTTTGACCCAATGCAATGGAACTGTTTGCTTCTCTAAGTTCTCTGTGAATATATCATAAACATGTGCCCTACCCTGTCCCAGCCCATCATCTGCTTTCTGTAAATAACCCCCTCTATCTTAAAGTCTAATTTTAATTTTTAAGTCTCAACCCCATCCTCCAGGATCCCACACCAGCCTAATTAGATCTGTTCATAATACCTGCGCAAATTTCAGTCATAGCCAGCAATGAACTGTATAGAAATAGTCATGTTCTGGGTGGGCTCAGCCTGCCATCCTCTTGCCAGTCCAACATGACTGTGGGCTCCCCAAGGTCAGAGCCATGTTTGATCTTGCCTGTTTCCTGAGTGCTAAGGGCAGCATCTAGCAGGCAGTAGGTGACGAATGTTTATCAGCTGACTTTGTTTGACCATATTCAAATCTCAAAAACCATGTATTCAGAATGCTGCATTTCCCAAAGTTCTGCACAGTCAACAATGTGTAAAGTCATTTGCACCTGTGCCTGTCACTGAACCACAGGTTCCCAGAAGCAGAGCGTAGACCCTTCATCTTTGTACCTTCATACATTCAAGCCCTGTATGAGCAGAGGATGGATGAGCCAACACTCAGGCCAAGGGACAGAACTGCAATTGATCCTGATCATCCAACTTCCAGGAGATACAGGGAGTGGGACTGACAGATTGACATACAATCCAATTCCAAGAGGATATTCTAGAGCCCCAAATCGAAGATCCCACGTTTGTTAAATGCAAAATCCTCAGAGGGAATTTTAAGCGCTATAAGATTTAAAACCACGTCACCTGCGTAACACTGAGGGTGAAAACAAAGATAAAACAGAGCTAACTGCATTTTTAAAATCTGAGTTTAATCTAAGACAGATGAATTATGAAACTGCAAATACACACTAACCAACAGGAAATAGAGAAAATACTCCCTCATCAACACACCCATTAAACAGAGGTCACCTTAAGGAATATTAGAGAAATTGGATTAAGTCAATCAATACGAGGCACTTGGTTTTTGTTTTGTGAAATTTTTCATTTCTCTTGTTTTGCATTGCCATTTCGTCACACAACATGTGTGTCAGAATAAGACACTGATAAAAAGGAGGATTATTTAATAATTAGCATCCATCTAAAAGAAAGCATTTAAACACAATTTAAAGGAATTCTGAATAAAAAAAAAAAAGGAACTACATGCTAAAGGTACAGCATCTATTATTAACATTCCAGAAGACCCATTTAAAGCAATCCAGAACTAGATGTTCCATCAACTTGTCTATTTCTTCCATTTGCAACAAAAAGACTGTCATTAGGCAAGGCTGTTGCTGGGGAATCTTACTTTACCATTGATTTCGAAGGTCTCCATTACAGTGAACATGGTTTGGTCAAGAGCTCTTCTTTCTTCAGGTCTAGTAAGGATCTCTTCCTCCTTGAGAATTTCCTTACTTTCCATTGCTAAGCTATATAGATGACCAAAGTCCTGGAGCCAGCAGAAATGCTCTCCTCAAGAGGAACCACTAGGGCAATGATTGTTCCCATTTAACTACCACCGCTGATTGTAGTTCATGCAGCACTTCCTTTGGCTCTGATTTCTGAATTTGCAAAATATTTCCTGATGTGATCAGATTTGGGTATTTCTCAAAAATGGGCTCTCCACATGTGGAGCTCCTGCTTGATGCAGTGTTGATTAAGAGGGGAGAGGGGGCATAATTTACAAGTCCTGGAAACCACCTTTTACTCCTAGGTCCCTGAGAACTGTTAGCTGGCTGGCCCTGGGGAACCAGGGATTCTGCTTCTCCCCATCCTGTCTGCCTTTCAAAGCCCTGCCGTCATCTCAGACCCAGCATGCTGCCTGGGGCCTCTCCTGCTCACACTGAAGTCTCCCTCCTCTGACTTACTATGACCTTTCAAGTTCATATTTGCTACTCAGAGTGTAGGCCATGGACCAGCAGCATCAGCATTGCCTGGAATCTTGTTAGACAACCCACATAGACTGATTTCAAATCTACACTTTACCAAGAGGCCTAGGTGGTGTAGGGTCACATCCCAAGTTGGAGAAGTGCTACTCCGTACCACACATGTTAGCATTTCATGAGCTTCTCCCTACAGTTCTCCATGTTCTGGGGCTGTGTGCTCATGCATGTTTGCATGGTCCCAGTAAGGTCTGACCAACCTGAGCAGACACATCTTTTCCAGTGTCCCGCATGACTGGCTCGTCCTCTGAGGGTGGTTGTGCAGTATGGTGGTTAGAGCTGGAATGCCTGGTTCAAGTCTCTTCCTCCACTTGGTCACTGTGGGAATGTGAACAGTCTCTGAAGTTTTGAGTGCCTTGCTTTCCTTGTTTGCAAAATATGGATGATGATAGTCATTACTGTGTGTATTAAATGCTGTGAGGGGAGGGCAGCTGCAACAGCACTTGGTAGGTGGTGAGGCTAAGGTCACACATATGTGAATGCAGGGGGTGCCAGGAGCTTAAGGAAATGGCCTCTGCCTTGCAGGGGCTCTCAGTCTAGTGTGCAGTGTGGATGTATTGAATTCCAGACACTTACTGTTAAGGGCAACCTTTATGGAAGCACCTGAGAGGACAGAAGCAGCCAGGAGGCAGGGTAGGCAGGAGTGGGAATAGCGCCCAAGTTTTAGACCAGATCTCAGCTTGCCCAGACTGTGCGTTTGCCTGGAGAGCAAGATGATGTGAGGGCCTTGCAGGGAGCAGAGATGGCTAAGTAGTTTTCCAGAGGCCAAATGGCTTGAGGCAAGGGAACCATGAGACTTTGGGGCCATCTGGAATAGAGTAAGTGAGAGGAGAGGTCGATAGGATCTGACATTGGGTATGACTATGTCAGTTTCTTTGGCGTGATGAAAAAAGGGAGAGGAACTGTGCTCCAGTATGCCCAAAAGGCGGAGTACCCAGGGGGCCCACAATTTCAACACTTAGGAAGTCACTGGTTTCAGTGAAGTCTAGAAGAAGAGGCTAGATAGAAAAGGTTGACGAGACAGAATTGGAAGTGAGGAAATGAAGGCAGCTATCAGCTCTAGTCAGTAGTTTGGGGGGTGGACAGTATAATAGAGGTTGCAGGGAGTTTGCCCAAGAAAGGGGAAGTCCCCTGGCAAAGGAACCTGCTCACTTAGCCTCAGTGCCTCCCCTTTGCTCGATGAGCTCAGCTCTGATCAAAGACATCCTCCCTTATGGAGGGGTTTGGGGGTGGGTACGCTGGAGAATGTGTGGGCTATTTACTAAGTGTTACTGTGCTTGGAGGGAGATTTTAGTGGTTCTGGCTATGAGACCAGACAGATTGGGATGTAAGCTTGACTCTTTGACTAACTTACTGTGAGACCTTGGGTGACAAACTTAACCTCCCTGAATTTCAGCACCAAGTAATATCTTGTAAAATTATTAACTGATATCTAGGATGTTTTAGGTGTCAGGTACTATACAAGATATGTACATAGATTACTTCATACTCAGAGCAACTTGTAACTTGCCTCGGATTGTGCGGTTAGAAAGTGATAATATCAGAATTCAAATCCAAGATTCCCTGCCTCTACAGCCTGGTTTAAGCCTGGTTGAATCTAGGAATTCTAATCCAGAGGTTTGCATCAGAGGAACATTTTGAAAACTCACCTGTCATCCCACAGTCTCAGCCTGAGATCCTAGTTTAAATAAAAGCTCCCCTGGCTGGTTCTAAAGCACAGCCAGACTGGGGCTCACTGCACAGAGTGACAAGTAGCCACAGGAAGCATGGAGATCCATCTGACCCTCAAGACTTGATCAGGGAAGATCCATTAGGCTGAGCCATTTGATATTACTGATAACTCATCCCTCCTGATATGCAATAATGGATACTTCATAAGATACAAGCTAATCCATCCAGCCTGCAGGGCTGGGATCAGAGTGGGGCAATTTAGGCAGTAGCTCGGGGTGCAAAAGTTTCAATAATCAAGATATGTAATAATTGAATACACTACTTTAAAGAATCAAAATTAGTGTAAAAAGTTCAGCATGAAAAAAATTACCTACATTTAAACAGATCCCACACTGTACTGATGTCTCCCGGCACACGCTCACCCTGGCCCCAGGCCTGCTCATCTTGCTTTCAGCATCCCCATTTGCAAAAGGGAGTAGTAATAATTGCCTTGTTTGCTTGTAAGGTGGGTGTGAGAATAAAGCAAAATACAGTGTCAGTGGGCCTCCCTGCTAGCGCAGGCGGTTGAGTGCTGCACTGTGAAGCTGTTCGCAGCCTCTGCAGTGCGGGACCCAGCCGGCTGGCAAGGGTCCCACATGGCAAGCAGACCTCTCTCCTGTCTCGCACGCTGCTCCCCTCAGCAGTGTATTTCGTCAGTCTGCCTGTTCTGTTCCCTGCTCTGTCTCTGGTGAATCCTCTAATCCTCCCGCGCATCTTGCCTGTACCCTGGTTCTTGTATAAATAAATAATAAATAAATAAATAAATAAATAAATAAATAAATAAATCTTTAAAAAAATTGTCAGTGGTAGCACTCTCTTGAGAATTGTACCTTATGTCATGTTAGCATGTAATGTAAACTTCCTGCATTGTCAATGTTACCGTAAAAAATCTCTTAATTCTCCATAAAATACAAAGCACACAACTTGGAAAAATATGTACAATCTCTTTCTAAGTCACACTCAGACACTTTCATCTCAGGAATACAATTCTGGCCATTTCTCCTGAGCACAAGAATTGTTCGACTGCATTTGGGGGCCATGTGGCTCAAAAAAATGCAGGGTTGGCTGTATTTTTCTCTGAGTACACATAATTGGACTGGAGAGTTTAAATATGTGCACAGTTTGGCTCTGATGCAGTTATGTCAGGTTCTGATGGTCTCCAAAGAAAAGGCCAAGTGGCTCACAGTGTGGTATTGGACAGGGGTAACAGGGCTGGGTTCCCTGGCAAGTGCACCCCCACTGCTGGTGCCTCCATAGAACTTGACTGTGTGTGAACCAGTGGGGCCCAGACTAGATTAGTGGATGGACTGCCTGACAGATCACTGATCTCTTTCCACCTGTAAGCTAGGGCAGCCATGATAATGAATGATGTAAAAATCCCCTACATGGCGCAGCAGACTTCTCCTGTCGTGCCCACTGCTCCCCTCAGCAGTGTATTTCAGCCAGTCTCTCTGTTCTGCTCCTCGCTCTGTCTCTGGTGAATCCTCTCACCCTCCCAAGCCTCTGGTCTGTACCCCAGGTCTTATATAAAAATAAAAAATAAATCTTTAAAAAAATAAAATAAATTAAATTAAAATCCCCTACAAAAACTGTGTTTAAAACAAACCAAACCCTACTGCAAGAGGTAGGCCAAGACTCCACAGTGGTCCCAGAGTCTCCACTACTCTCAATGGCTACTTAGTCATTTGTTCTGTCATCTGCCTGAGCTCGAGAGCAGAGTCAATGGAAAACAGGACCTGTGCTAAAGACAATGTGTAGAGACAGATGTCAACAATTTCTACCTATTAACTTCATTTTTCTTGCCAGAGTATGCAGCAATCATGTGTTCAGTGTCCCCAGGCCCAGCTCTGTGCCAAGCAATTAATGACACTTAGTAACTGTTAATTAATACTGAAAATTTTTTAAAAATCAATGCAAATGACCATCAACAGGTAAATAGATAAATTGCTGTACCTATATAAAATGGGATACTAATCAGCAAGGAAAAGAAACAAACAGCACCATGGACGGATCTCAGACGCTATTATATCGGGTGAAAGGAGCTAGACCCAAGAGGGAATGATGCATGACTCCATTTACATAAGGCTCCAGAACAAGCACACTCACGACAGTGTCGGAGAACAGAGCCATGCTTCCTGGAGTGGGCAGGGGAGACCTGACTGCAGAGGGCACAGGGAAGTTTCTGGAGTGACACACTCTTCTGTATCTTGATTGGGATATTACAAAACTCAGTGAACTTCACACTTGAAAATGTGTATAAAGTCTGTAAATTATGTCTTAATAAAGTGAATTAAAACAGAAATGAAAGGAAGAAGGGACATTACAGTACATGGAGCTCCATAGAGACAATCCCTGGGGAAGTGAGAATGGATGGGTCCTGGGCTCCTCTGTGCCTTGCTGAGGTAAAATGGCTAACCATGGGCAAAGGTGATCCTAGAAGTTGAGAATGCTGTCATATGTATTTCTGTGCAAACTTGCTGGAAGGAGCCCAAGAAGCAGCACCGGGATGCTTCAGTCAGCTTTCAGAGTTTTCTAAGAAGTATTCAGAGAGGTGGATTCCATGTCTGCTAGAGAAACAGGAAAGTTTGAAGACATGGCAAAGGCTGGCAAGGCCCATGATGAAAGAGAAATGAAAACTTTTATTTCCTCCTAAAGGGAAAAAAAAGATGTTCAAGGATCCCAATGCACCCAAGAGGTCTCTTTCCGCTTTTTTCTTGTTTTGTTCTGAGTATCGCTCCAAAATCAAAGGAGAACATTCTGGTCTGTGCAT